GCTAAATTAGTTGGTTTTTTTTTTTTTTAACTTTAATGTACATCTTAGGGTGATTAGTCATTTAATACCTATATGACTATTGTAGTATAAATCTAAAAAAACTCGAGATGACTCATCTTTTATATTATTCATATAGATAGTGGGAGGTACTCTCTCTTTTTCTTTTTCTTTTTTAATAATTTTTAAAATTTTATTATTTAATATTATATTTATATTAATTTTTTTATTTGGTTATTCTTTTTCAATTTTATTATTTGATATCTGATTGTTTTTGAATTAGTTTATTAAATTTATTTTAGTTTACTTTCTATAAAATATTTTTTTCTCAAACAAATCTCATAATATTTTGTTTGTGCTTAATTTTAAAAATATTTATTTTTATTATTATATTATTAAATAAAAAAGTTTTTTAAATAATAAACCATCTGAAATTTATAACCGAAGTTACGAGCTTGATGGGTTAAGTTGTGAAGCTCTGATTAATCTAATATATTATTATCTTAATATTAAAAAAAAACATCACCTTGATATTTTTTTAAAGTTAAACTATATTTTTTATCAACTATCCTACCTATTTTTGGACCTGCCAAGCAGACAGGGTCATGTCGAGGTAACCCTAACATAATTTAATTTAAAACTCGGGTTAAACAAAAAGAAGAGTTCATAGGTTTTAAATTTGACTCGTGGGGAAAAGTTTAATAGCAATACCAAATAATTTCATACTAGATTGGTGGCCTGCCCACAACACTGTGGATCGAACAAAATTTTTCAAAAAAAAGTTCAGGAGATTATTGTATTTTTTAATAAATAAGAGAAATTTGATAAGTTGGTTAAATCTTGATTAACTTGATAATATGATTAAAAAAACAATAACAACAAAAAATAAATTTTTAAAAATATTCCTTGGGCAAAGCTAGGTTAAGATGGAAAATTCATGATCCAAAAATAACAAAAAATAAAATTTTAAAAATATTTCCTTGGGCAAAGCTAGGTTAAGATGCAAAATTCATGATTTGCACATGAGATATCTCCGGATTACATATATATCATGCGTTCTAGGTCATGAAATCAGGATAATTTAATAAAAAAATTGACAAAAAATAAAAATCAAACATGAAAAAATAAAAAATAAATGTATATCAAAATATTTATTAGCATAACACGAGTCATTTATCCAGTAATGTTTAATAAATTCATTAATTAAAATTAATTTGTAATAAAAATTAACACAAAAAATTTATTAAAGAAAAAAAAAGAAATGTAAAGCCATAACAATATTATAAAAAATAAGCATTTTTAATTTTTTAAAATAAATCTAATCTATATGAAATATATATAAAATTACAGATGAATCATACTAACTTTATTAAAAATTAAACATACCTAATATAATTTAAAAATAATTACTATTCAAAAAGGGCTAAATAAGCCAATGAAAATCACAAAAGAGTGTTAAAAAATAAACTTAAGAATTATTTAAAAAAAAAGACATAAGAAGAGGAATTAATTAAAAAAAAGATATAAAAAATGAAAAAGGTTAAAAGTTCAAATGTATAGGCATTCAAGCTTAGTCCTGTATATCTAAGCCTGTTATTTCTTGTATTATTATTTTTTTGAAAAAAAATAGGCAAACAACATGTGACCTATTATATTAGACAATGTGTCGTCAGCCACCCTATATTTCAATTACCTTGCGGTGGTGGTGAAATTAAAGTTATGAGTTTTTTAACTTAAAAATTTGAATTCATTTTAACTACAAAATACTTTTAAAACACTAAAAAATCAATCTATCAGCCTCATAAATAAAAAAAAAATCTAAACTACCAAATCAAACTGGAGAAAATATTCCATCCTTAATCTATATTTGATTTTTAGATTATACCAAGACTTAAAATAATCATCATAAGACTCTTTTCATCTAATAAAATCTGTTAACATCAATTTTAATTTGTTTTATGATTGAAAAAGGTGTCAACGAAGAGTTTTGTCTCTCTACATTGGAATTTAGTGAATTCTCTCTTTCTTCTTACAAAAAAAAAGTTAGGAAAATAAAATTTGATATCAAAATAAATATTTTGAAAATTAAAAGGACCAATTACTTTAGAGAAAAAAAAGATGGGGTTGCAAATGAACTTTTGAGTTAAATTTTAAAGTTACCATCTATTTCACTTTTTTTTTCATTTTAGTTCTTTATCTTTCAATTCAAACCTTCCTTCAAGAAAAATATGTAATGGATTCTAATTTAGGTTAAAAGGGCTAAATCATGTAAAGTAAAAATTTGATGATAAAATTATTTTTTTAAAAAAATATCACTGCTGAAATATATAGTAATATGTGAGAAGGTAAACCATATTTTTGTTACAGTAAAAAAAAATCTCTTAGTATGTATTAAATTAATAACTTGGATTTTTTTTTCCTTTCAATAAAATGTTGATCTGCTCCTCGGGAGCATAGTATGGGCCATTAATCCAGTTCTTTTTATGATAAAAGAGCATCGGCCTAGGCCACGTCTGGCATGGCCCCAAAATTATGTCCAGATTTTCTTTGGGCACGTTGCAGTCTCAAGATGGTAAGCCAGTAAAGTTGGTTTGGAGTTCACTCAGTAAGAAAAACCTTAGAAATTTTCCAGATGATAAGACATCAGCATGTGAAGCTGAAACTGGAAAACATAACGAGAAACAGAGATTATGTCTTTATATCATTTTTTTTCTTACATCATGTTTGTTTTGGAGGGTTTTTAGTTGTAGGAGATTGAAAGGTGGTGTTAAAACCCTTCATCCATGTTTGATCTTCACTATAGTTAAAAAAATTGGCAAGACAATTCGGTGACTGTCAATTTAAAATTGGGTTTAAACTAGGTGTTATTTCAAATTAATTTTTATTTTTTAATTAAAATAACATTATTTTATTAAAAAACACTAATTATTTTTTTCAATCATAGTCTGGTTGACCAATTTACTCATGGTCAACCCACTCATCCAACTATCTAGATCTTGGACTTGATCTACTCTTGGATATAAATATTAAAATTAGATAGATTTGATATGTTAACATAAAATTTAATTGATTAGGATTCTATATCTGTATAAATTATTTATAAAAAAAATTGATTAATCTAATAAAAAAATTAATTTATTCGATCTAACTTTAAATTTATTATTTTTTTATTTTTTATAAAAATAACATCATTTTAATCCTTTAAAAAAAAAATTGGGTTAATTGTGATTTTAACTCCTAACAGAAGGAAATGTGGGATAACCTCGAAAGTATTAAAAATCTTAACACTTTAGAAGGATTAAGACTTTTAGATGATCCAAACAAGCTTTACTTAGAATAAAAAACTAACTTTTTTATCCATTAAGACTATTTTTGCAATTTAATAATTAATCTTATTTTTTTTAACCCTTCCATTCTCCTTCTCTATCTTCCATTTTTTTATATCCATATAAGAGAAAAGATTGAAATTCAACCGTTATCTTGCTTGACTAATCTTACAGTTCCGTATCCTTCTTCCATTCAAACACAACGATAATGGAGGGCAACTCAGTGCCAGGGTTGGCAGCGAATTTCTTGTGTCTCTTTTAATCCTATTGCAATTAGGGCATGAAAGAACTAATATCTTATAAAACAATATTTTTTTTAGGAGAGAGGTAATATTAGGTCTAGGTGGGCCAAACCTTGGTCTCTTGTCTCCTTGAAAAGTCTGGGGAGTCTTGTTGGGCTAAACATGAGCCACCGAACCCTATAAAAAAAAAAAAAAAAAAGCCACCTCCTCCTCCAACCCCTCTTTGGTATAAAAAGATGTTTTCTTCATTTTACCTTCTTTTCTTGGAAATTTACACCTTCATAAATAGACATTTAAACGATAAGAGTCCATACCCTTGACTATTCAAAGAAGTCACCAGACTATAAGAGTTAAGGAGAACAAAAGCCACCAAACTCAAAGAGAACGGGCATCATCCAATAATTCTTTGAATATTCAAGTCAATCAGGTGTTTTTTAAGAGATAGCAGGAAGGCTATAAGTGAAAAGAACTTGTATAAAAGTAGAATCCAAATCACTGTACATTGGATTGACAAGTAGTTTGTGC